TCGGCAGTTCCTACTATCTCTAACTATATATAGATAGTCAAGTCAATGTGGTGTTTTATAAATTCCTAATTTAGAAACAAAACCCATCTAACTCCAAACCAAAACACAGATTCTAAACAAAGCCTCACACCTAACATGCATTGTCTGACCTAAAACGTCACCTCTTCTTTACACTGAAGAGACCTTTAATTCTCTCATGACAGTAACTTAAAAGGGCATTCAGGGACTTGCATATACATACTAATCAATTAAAACCTTCTAATTGATTAAAGATTTAACAGCATCTCAGGTTTGTTTAACACATCCTGATCAGTGGTGTCACTCTTTGATCTTTTACTTATAAATTGTGTCTGATACTACTTCTCTAACACCTGAATGAGACAGGCTCCGAAAGCTTGTATTTCCTGGGTGTTGTGATTTCTGACCTTGTCCACCCCAGTTCAACACCAGCACCTCCACATCATGACTCCCGTTCAACTGGGCCCCATTTAGGAGTACCGTGAACAAATCTGTGCACTACACCTTCAGATGGATATATGGGCCTCGGAAGAAGTACAGTGTAAGTTTACAAGAATGATATCCGGACTTCAGGGTTTAGTCATGTTTCTCTAGAATTTAAAAGGTTAAAAGGAGTGATCTGATCAGTCTTCAAGATATTAACACGAAAAGTCAGGATAGATAAACTATGGGAAGGATCCATTTTTTCTAGTCACTGCTCTGCTACCCCAAGCAGCTGCTTATGCAAGTCCAATTTTATATCCCTGAAACTTCTCATTGTTTTCCAAGCTGGCTAACAGAGGAAACAAGGCTTTCATCTCCCAAACGTGAACAACATGTATGAATTAAACAGAATGCTTCTTGCTGACTTGATTGTCTGGATTCACCGCCTTTGGAATGAAGTGGTATAAAAAATGCAGACAGGTTTCATATATCTACAATTTCACAACAGTTGCCTCAAATCTGCTGTCAGCATTAATTTGTTTTTAAAATAAAGGAACTTTAGTCTATGAAGGCTTCAGGTATTGAAATCAGATGAAGTTGAATATCATTTATAGGCCAGTTTATTATCATGACAATAGCTACTGAAACAACAAAACATGAATTTTTCTTTCAAAAATAGCACCTTAATTAAATAGACATGTTTTACACATCTAGTCCCTCTTTAATGCTCTAATTATAGCACAATGAAAAGGTTGTTGAATTTTTTGAAGCCCAACAAAACCCATCCCAAAGAAACATTTGATGCATAAAAATTGGACAATAAATTCTACTTCCATCATAGACAAGTTTAGCAGATATGAATCTTATTAGAAACCTCTGGCACAGGTGTGACTTAAGTTCAGGTCTCCAAGGTAGGGATACAACCACTGCACCATAATTGCCCCTCAGTTTTGCAGATATGCACTATCGGACTCTGATAGTTTGAATATATTGGATCAAGCCCAAAGCAACAAGCACAGGAAGCATTTTGTTTTTACTGTAACCAGGACTGTCAATAGTACCTCAGAACAGCTCCAGCAGAGGAAGCCACGTGACATGGCATCTATACCAACTCACTACAAGAGCAACTCAACTCTAAAATATTAGCAATTCATTGTACTATATGGACTGTCAACTGGGCATACAATTAATTGTTAGTTATATGTCAAAGCTCTGGCCATGTACTAAGATACAAGCAAGTTCAATTTTAAACAATTAAACAGTCAAGATAAACCACCACATTAACAAAATAAACTAGTGACTTTGTAAATTTCTTTGGTGAGGATAGTTTATATTTGACAAGCCCAGCCATACAATATGTAATTGTCAACATCATGTAACTTATAGTCAATCCAGATGATTGAGGAACTATAAAGATTGAGGCAAAAGAAAAATACCATAAAATGTTTGAGATCTGAAAGAAACACAAATCCTAAAGTTAATCAGCAAATGCTGTCTGACCTGAATATTTTCAACATTGAAGATTTTAAACCTCTTAAAAGATTTTTAAACTGATGGAGGGATCATGTTTCTACCAGACTTGTCATATGTGATTTGATGTTCGCCTATCGACTTACACAATATTGCTGTTGTGATAGGATTTGACTTCCTAAATAGCCTGAAGCTAGGAGGTAATAACACTTAAATTAAATCCAAGGTATGTTTTAGGAGACTAAACTTGAACCAAGTATAAGGATTTTTTGTTTAATATTAATTAACAAGTACAAAATAAATAAAAGCATGATGTATTTCATTACATATTCTACATTATTTGGAATTAAACAACATAGGGAAGAATGGCATCAGAAAATGCACAAATTCAGCACAAAAGAAAATAATAATATATGTGAATAGTGCACTCAACATAAAGTTCTGATAATCTTTCAACAATTTAAAGAAATTCCATTAAGGCAACGTTCCATTCCCAGGCTCAGTTTTTTGCAATTTAATCAGCGTGTCTGCATACTGAAACTCTGGACTGTTTTCGTACTCAAGCATGTCCAGTGCTACCTCACAACTCTCCTTCACAACACGTTCTCCATCATGTAGGTATTCTTTCAATACTTCCAGACATGGCTCTTTGGCAATTGATCCTAAAGCTTCTGCACACTCGTGACGGACCATGGGATTTTCATCCATTTTTTTCAATGCTGTTATAAGTTGTGGAATACTGGCATCATGTTGCATTTGGCCGAAGACATAGCCAATTTCATGACGAAACAGGGCACTTCCACACTGCAAACCTGAGGGAAACACACAGAATCAAATATCTTCACCCAAACGCAAACCAAAATAATAGAAGTACTTAGAAGAGATCTGAAAGTCAAGACTGGAAGTTTATTAACAATGCTGATTAAATCATAAGCCGATTTCCAGATATATAGTAATTTGTTAGTACAGAACTCGAGCATGGTTTGAAAAAGAACATTGAAGTTTATTGTCCCGCACTCATCAGGACAATTCACAAGTATATAAATTCAAGTATAAACCAATATTCACACTGCATAAGAGGAGACTGCTGATTGGTTGGCAAATGAAAAATCAGACTGGTAGAGGTGTTGCCATAGAGAATTCTTTCATTAATACTGATTGACAGTTAACATTTAGGGTTGGTTTAAAACTTTAAACCAGGCTAGATGACTCCCATTGGTCAGAGCAGTGGCCTGAGGAATGAAAGCAAATAGCTGTCATCTACTTTGAGCTGAAACAGGCATATAGTGATCATGTGTTTTTGGTTTCTGTCTGCAAAAAGGAAGCGTATTCTGGGTACTAATATATGCAGCTTCCAGTATATGGAAGTGCAACTTCAAGGGCCCTTCCAGTGGTATTACCATCACTGAATCCCTCATAAACATCATGGGAAATTACCAGAAATTGAACCGGATCCGTGATATAAATATTACGGTTACAAGAGCAGGTCACAGGCAAGAAATCCCCTGGGTAATTCACACCAGTGCCTGTCCACCACTGAAGCAGCTGGACGCTACCCAGGGCCAAACAACATGCTTGACTGGCACCCTATTCAGCCTTCTCAACATTCACTCCCTTCAGTACCAAAGCACAATGGGAGCATTGTGTATTTCTACAAGATTCATTGCAGCAACTAATCCAGACTCCTTTGACACTGTCTTAATTCACAACCATTAGTATCTAGAAGGATAAGGACAGCAGATCGATAGGAGTACCATCACCTTCAAAGTCCCTGCCAAGTCACATCCCATCCTGTCTTGGGAACTATATTGCTCTTCCTTCAGTGTCATTGACTCAAAATCCTGGAACTCTCTTTTCAACAGCACTGTGGAAGTACCTACAAACCAAGGTCCACAGTAATTCAAGGTAGTGGCTTACCACCATGTTAAAAGGGTGGGCAATGAATTCTCTACCCTAGCCAGCATCAGCTACATCTCATGAAGGATGATGAAAGAACGAGGCTTGAACCTGCAACAACACGATTTAACAGCTCAAAAATGTTTGTAATTTTACTATGGTGTGCCTACCTCAAATTCCACAGTAATCAATAGTCTGAATCAAAAATCTCAACAAAATACATACCATCTCCTAAGGCCAAGACTGCTTCTTGACTTCCAATATTCCGCAGGGCGAACATCGCTCTGTATCTATCGAATAAGGGCAAGGATTCATCTAGGAGTGTTTCTCTTAATTTCTTAATATCTTTCTCCAGAGCTGGGGGAGCAGGATCAATTGAACAGTATTGGCTTTCATTCTGGTCTTTGTTGTTCCGAAGCCATTCAATTCGTTTAACTGCCAGGTGGCAAGTTTCAGCAACCTAAATATTTTAATACAAATGAACCATTAAAATGAAGCATAGGGAAGCCACCTAATCAAATTGAGAGGTAATAAAATGGATCAAAAACCAGTGTCTCCAAAAATCCTACTTAAATTGCTATTGTTCTTGGCTCCAAAGTCTCATGACTCATTGGGTATATTATTGCCCTAGCAGTAATTTTCTGCAATGGGTAGTTCAACAGCCCCAATACTTAACTGTTATGTTAGAGCCAATGATTTTGTAGTTGCTTATTCCCAAAATAATACTGTTTAAAAACAGTAATTTGACAGAAAAGAATTAATATACATTTACACAGGCATACTCCTGCACAGTGTACCCTTGCTCATACACAAACTCATTTATTTCTTTCACTATGGCTTCAGACTCCAACATCATAAGACCCAAATTGAACATTACCTGAAGATTGAACCCATAGGGTGTCAACAACTGAATTCAACGCAGTTGACACTATAGCTGTTAACTGGTCTAGTGAAATCTCATCTTAACTATCAGTATATAACCTGTTTTATTCTTATGAATCTAAACTACAGTTTTCCCATTGTGAAAACTGTTGTCATTTTGTTTCCTGTATTTTTGGTTGTGAACTAAGATTGCAAAAAGGACTGCTTTAAGTATGTGGTTAAAAGTACAGCAATTTTTACAAGTTACTGAAGCTCTGTGGTGTTTACACTGCTGGTTTGTTCAACAGGGGAGTGATGTTTGAGGGCCTAGCACTGAAGATTACGTGTACACAATTGCCATTGAGCCAGCCACAGGTTTGATTGGTTCCTTCAAATCATGACCAGTTGTAAACACCAAAGGTCATCAACTTGACATCAGATTTTTGCCTGAACAGCTTGTGGGTGTGAAAGATACAGCAAGTAGTCTTCGGCCCACTGGAAGGTCGGATAGTGTGCGTGTGTCTCTCTCTCTCTCTCAAAAAAATGCCTGAAGCTGCTGTAAGCTGTTGCCTTTAACCAGTAACTAATAGACTTTGTCATTAGTGTAACCAATCAGCCTGTGTCTTGTGGTGTCGTAAAAGAACCTGGAGAAAGGAAATCACAGAAATAGAAAGTCCTAATATGCCAAAAGTATACTTCAACAAATCCTGTGAACTGGTGCTATTGAAATGCTTCTCCCAGTTTATTTCCCTTCATTCAATTTTTTTTTGGTGGTCTATATGACTGTATGCAGTGGTTTTAAAGGGGGTAAACATTCAACTAATACAGCCATACATTGAAATTTCATACCTTTACCTGAAATTAGAATTTACTTATTTTTAATAAGCAACCACTTTAATAAGCAACCCAACCACCCCTGTAAACCTGCATTTCCCACAGCTAATCAACCTAGCCTGCACATCCCTGGACACTGATCAATTTAGTATGGCAAATCCACCTAATCAGCACATCTTTGGAATAAGAGACGAAACCAGAGCACCTAGCAGAAACCCACACAGACATGGGGAGAACATGCAAACTCCACAGTCACCAGAGGCTGAAATTGAACCAGGTCCCTGGCACTGAGGCAACAGTGATAATCATTGAGCCAACCTTTGCTCTTCACTACAGAGCAAAGCTTAGGTTCTCTGCCTGCTGCTAGAATTGCACGAGAGAGAGTCTATGTTATCAAATTTGCCTTTGCCAAAGGTGTGCTTGTAGGATGTTACAATATCAGAACAGTTAATGAGCAGTTTATTACTTTAAGTATTTTGATAGTGTTACAGTTAAGCCAATTCTTTTATTTTGTCTGTATTTTAACTATAGTGTACGAATAAAGTGAGTTTTGCTTCAAGCCTTGTAGCTTCACTAATTGAATTGCATCCAGAATGCAACAGCTGGCACTTGCCTTTAAAATAAGAAAAAGTTAGGGTAGAGGCCATCTCCTTGACTCGTTTGGAGGGGGTTTGGTCTGGTCCGTGACAAAATGGGACAACCAAAGTAGATTTAGTAATCCAACTACAATCTGACCAATGCTGTATAAAACAACTTCACCTCTTTGCTTTCATATTTAAAACTCAATTACCCAAGTCTTGTGGTGTTGAGCACAAACGTCGTTTGCTTACTGTTTGATGACAGTACTGTAAAAAAAACTTCTTGAAATCTTCCAATTAGGGCTAAAATCTTCCAATGAGGACCTATTTAGAAGGCCACATTACTGTTAAAAGGAACTTACTACCATAGTTTTATTGATCTAAGACAAAATTTTCCAGATTAATAACTTGCTGAAATTCTGGAGATGTAACTGCATTTGATATTTTGCATATCGTCTAAGACAAAAAAAAATGAATTACATCAATATTTCTCTGGAAACTGAAATCGGAGCACTGCACAGAAGCAATCCAAAAATTAGGTTCCATATCTCCTATTACACTGCGGTTATCAGATCCCATTCTGAAGACAGAATGGGGATTTAAATTTCTCACTAGTCTGAAGCCAACTGCCAAGTGCCCTTTGTTACATTGGATGAGCCAATCTGAAAACGATAGAAAATCTATTTGGAAACTGTGCACTGCTGTAACCTGAAGATAGATACAGGAATCAATAACTTCCAGTCATGATCCCAAACAAAGGAGAAAGCTGTTAAACTAGCTTTGCTGAGCAGATCTTTGTGATGCTTTGAAGCCCGTGGAACACCTCAGTAGAAATGTTCAAGCAAAGTAATAGTTTTTGAGGAAGGTGATAAGTAGGGAAGTCAGGAGGGCATTTTAGCTAAAGATTGCTCAATTCCAATTTAACATTTATTATAACAGCTCTGAAGCAATGAATTAATATAAATTAATATTAAACTGTTGGTTTCTCCTTCTCTCTAGATTTCCAATTTCTAACAAATTACACATTCATCTAATTATTCTTCCTCTCCTAATTTTGTTTTTATTATTAAAGGCTTCCATTTGCCTTCAATGGCATGCCATTCAAAACTTACGATAAATCCTGGACTTGAATTGCTTTTGTTAGCATTTTCCAACGTTTACAGATCAGAAGTGACCACCCTTTCAAAGCTTAAGAGCCGAAAATTTATTGGGGAAATACCAGAAGTGTTGTACCCCTTTAGTATTATACGGTCTGTTCCTGGAAGTTAACTGGGCTACTGGCTGGTCCAGTTCCAAAAATTCTAGAACAGTGGTTGGCAGTTTTAGTAGAGAATCAAATGATCCACAGGTCCAGTAAATACTCCTACCTCAAACCCATTTCACATCAATAAGGTCTTTATTCCACGTACCCTCTGCCACAAGTGAGCAAAGGCTTAAATGGGAGCCAAGAAGACCACATCAGGAAATTTATAATTTAACTAAGATCTTGAAGTGAGTTTGGAAATCCAGTAAAAGGGGATGGAAAATAAGTGTAACAACTTGCATTTATATAGTGTTAAAATAAAACATTCCAAAATACTCTAACACAAAGACTATAAATTTGACAGAGCCACATAACAAGACATTAGGATAGATGAGCAAAATCAAAGAACCTTTTAAGGGAGAAATGACAGGTATAAGGGAGAAATGACAGGTATAAAAGAGAAACAGTTTGAGTTTTATACCTTAGCAGTTGGAGACCAGGAGAGGACATAGAAGGTTTTACTTCACTTAACAATTTTTCCATTTGTATTAGCTACTTAATGGAAACACTGTTTCTCTCTCAGCTGATGCCTGAACTAAGCTTAATAATTGGAAAACTACTGAGGAAAAGCCAACTCTTCTGCCCCTTTAATATGACAGCTTCTGTCCCTGGAAACTAACTGGGTTATTGGCTGGTCTGGTTCCAAATTCTAATAAATGTCAGCTAGATCATTGCCAGTTTTTTTTTAAATTAAAAAGGTTGATGGGGATACAGAACTTTGTGCAAATTAGGCCACAGTCAGAGTTTTGGATAGCATCAAGCTTAGGGAGATTAGAACACAAAGTTAAAACAGGTGTAAGTTGAAGTAGTCAAGTCAGGAAGCAAGGGCAAGGATGCAGTTTCAGCAGCAGGTAAGCAGAGGTAGGGATGCTGTTCAGTAACAATACAGGAGGAAATAGACAGCTTGAGAGATGATAACATGAAGATCATTTTAACTAAATCACAAGAAATAAAATTAATATATCCTTACTTCTATTACTGAATCATGTGAGTAATACCTCAATGTTTCAAGAACCTCTGGGTTTCCAATAGCTCCCAATGCTTCACCTGAAATAAGAGTATAAAATGCAATTAAATGGATCTAACATTTATCAGTTGCAGCAGCTCACAAACTGGCTGAATGACTGCAGGCACCATTGTAGCCAAAGGATAGAGATCTACATGAAGCCCTATTTGCTGCAATTTCCTGCAGGGTACATTTTTCATTGTTGTTTTTGTTAGGGAATGATTCTCAAGTTCACATTGTGCTAAGCGTGCGTAAATGTCAAGCTACTTTAAGACATTCAACTACCAAAAGCAGGATTTAAAAGTCAGAACAACCACAAGGTTGTGCTTAGAAAATTGTTTAACAAAGCATATCATATTATTTATGTGGAGATAGGAACCAAAATACTGCAGGTTGCTGGAGAATTGAGACAAAAAGTACTGGAGAAACTCGGAAGGTCCAGCAACATCAGTGAATAGCAAAAGGGTTAATATTTCAAGTACAAATATTCTTTATAGAAACTTTCTGCTTGTATTACTTAACGGCAGTGCTGTTTCTCTCACAGAGAATGCCTGAGCCAACTTTAATAATTGGAACAGTATTGGGGGAAAAAAAAAGCCATGTCTTCTACCCCTTTAGTTGGCTAGCCTAGTTCTAAATTCTAATAAACGTCATCTCCATCATCATCCGCCAGCACTTTCAACATTTCCACATTTCTAGCAACGACAATATTTAGGTTTGATATTATACTCGTGGAGTCAGGCTTGAAATGATCTATTTCGAGCCTTTCGGCGTTTTCAAGGTCGGTAGGCGGCCAGTACGTCACCTGCTTCGTGCCTGACCATGGGCTCCTGGCTGTGGTCCTGCAGCACCCGGATCAGGATAGGGATAGCGCGCTGGTCCTGCATCTGGCCCAGACAATAGGCCAACTCATGCTTCAGCAGCACCGACTCGTCCCCGAAGCCCTTGGAAATCCACTCGACAGCCAGCGGGCCACCCAGGTTCCGAAGGGTAAAAAGCGCCCGGAAACGCTCCTTCAGCGGCCTCGACACATCCACCAAGATCCGTCCGATCACTTCCACCGCCTTCTCGTCCATAATCATCAACCGTCCGCTGCTCCAACTTCAGTTCCGACAGCACTAACACCCGCCACCACGTGACTTCAAATCACCCAGCATCCTCTGCGGCCCATTGGGTCAATGCATAGGGCAAAAAAGGGAGGGGGGGGATGAAGATGTTGGACGAATCGCTAGTACAGGATTGGTGAGTGGAAGTGAAGATATTTTCTAATCAACCTGTTCACAGACATTGTTACACACCTGCAGAGCGGCAGGTGGGACTTGTTCCAGGGAACTCTTAGCCCAGCAGCAGGGACACTACCACTGTATCACGACAGTGCCCTGGATGGAATTGAAGCAAATTCTCCTGACACGAGGGAAAATTATCCTGAATTAAATACCTATAAAAACATACTCACACAATGTACTTAATTTATAAAACGCAGCCTGAAGGCTGGGAAGAAGGAGATTCCAGTTAAGAGTTTCTGGTTATGATTACTATCCACTGGCTCCTTAAGAAGGGATTCCAGAATTAGAGAGTTTAAAGATCAGGCATAAATTTACGATCGTTGCCATCTGAGCTTACACATAAAGAATAGCTAATAATTAAACAAGGTAGTGAAGGATTCGGGGATCGTATGGAATTGTTAGCTCCTTCTTAGCATAAGGTTCCTTCAACAAGACAGGTCAGGAGTGTATTTGAATTTTCTCCACTTGCCATGGTGAATGCAGCTCCGTCAATGCTCAAGAAACACAAAGCAACCTCATCAGCACCCCATTCCAGCACCGACTCACCGCAGCAGCAGTGTGTATGAACTGTGAACAAGATGCACTGCACCAACCCACCAAGGATCTTTTGTCAGCTCCTTTCAAACATATGACCCCTGCCACTTGTTTTTAATTCTTTGAGGCCAAGATGACCATGTTAATTATTTGAGGTGTCTCCTAGGGTTTCAGTGTGTATAAGAATGGGACGACTGAAGGTGATCAATGCCCAAGAAGTTCTGTTACAGACTGAAGACATTTGACAACCGAGTCTTGGAAAAGCTGCTGGCTCTAAATTTCCTCGCCGTCCCTAACATGTACTTACTTTCAAGGAAAGCCCCCTCCACCTCTTTATCGTTTGTTCGTGTAAGACGTATTGATCTCGGGTCCATACTGAAACTCCTAAGCAGCATTCAGAGCATCCTTATAGCGTTTCCTTTGACTGCCATTAACAAGCTAGACCCAAGATTTCCAAAGAAGTTTTGCCTTGGTAAGTGAGCGCCAGGTATTCTGACTACACTACAAGCCCGACTCAGTTGTACCTGTATTAATAGTGTGGTTGCTTGGCACATGAACATCCGTCAATGACTCGCATTTTGTCCCATTTTATGATCTTCATAAGCTTCCAAAGCAACTCAAGTGAAATTGGTTAAGCTTCTTTGCATGATGTTGATACATATTCCAAGACTTACATTCATAGAGTAGAAAGTCAAGACCATTATTGTCGGAAAACCCCATCTGGTTCACTAACGTCCTATAGGGGAGGGAACTGCCATCCTTACCTAGTCTGGCCTACATGTGACTCCAGACCCGCAACAACGTGGTTGACTCTTAACTGCCCTCAGGGCAGTTAGGGATGGGCAATAAATGCTGCCTAGCCAGCGACGCTCTCATCCCGCGAATAAATAAAAAAAATTGCTCACAGGCTGTTAGTCCGGCAGATAGATTTACTCCTCTTCCTTCCAGACTGATATTCAGTCCACCGAAAGCTCCACTGGGAATTCTTGCATATATCTTGTCATCAATATAGACAGCTTGAGAATGAGGGATAAGCAAACCCTGCTGCTGCTGACAGATTCTGGCCATAGACTGAAAGCTTGGGCTTTGGGTAATCCCTGGAATAGGCTTACTTCATATTGATTGTAGCAGCAGTTGTCACATGGTTTGGAGAACCATAGAACATTAGAGCGCAGTACAGGCCCTTCGGCCCTCGATATTGCGCCGACCTGTGAAACCAATCTGAAGCCCATCTAACCTAAACTATTCCATTATCATCCATATGTTTATCCAATGACCGTTTAAATGCCCTTAAAGTGGGCGAGTCTACTATTTTTGCAGGCAGGGCATTCCACGCCCTTACTACTCTCTGAGTAAAGAACCTACCTCTGACATCTGTCCTATATCTATCACCCCTCAATTTAAAGCTATGTCCCCTCATGCTAGCCATCACTATCCGAGGAAAAAGGCTCCCACTGTCCACCCTATCTAATCCTCTGATCACCTTGTATGTCTCTATCAAGTCACCTCTTAACCTTCTTCTCTCTAACGAAAACAGCCTCAAGACCCTCAGCCTTTCCTCATAAGACCTTCCCTCCATACCAGGCAACATCCTGGTAAATCTCCTCTGCACCCTTTCCAATGCTTCCACATCCTTCCTATAATGTGGTGACCAGAACTGTACGCAATACTCCAAGTGCGGCTGCACCAGAGTTTTGTACAGCTGCAACATGACCTCATGGCTCCGAAACTCAATCCCTCTACCAATAAAACCTAACATACTGTACGCCTTCTTAACAACGTATCAACCTGGGTGGCAACTTTCAGTGATCTATGCACATGGACACCGAGATCTTTCTGCTCATCCACACTACCAAGAATCTTACCATTAGCCCAGTACTCTGTATTCCTGTTACTCCTTCCAAAGTGAATCACCTCACACTTTTCCGCATTAAACTCCATTTGCCACCTCTCAGCCCAGCTCTGCAGCTTATCTATGTCCCTCTGTAACCTGCAACATCCTTCTGCACTACCCACAACTCCACCAACTTTGGTGTCATCCGCAAATTTACTAACCCATCCTTCTACGCCCTCATCCAGGTCATTTATAAAAATGACAAACAGCAGTGGCCCCAAAACAGATCCTTGAGGTACACCACTAGTAACTGAACTCCAGGATGAACATTTCCCATCAACCACTACCCTCTGTCTTCTTACAGCTAGCCAATTTCTGATCCAAACCGCTAAATCACCCTCAATCCCATGCCTCCGTATTTTCTGCAATAGCCTACCAAGGGGAACCTAATCAAACGCTTTACTGAAATCCATATACACCACATCAAATGCTTTACCCTCATCCACCTGTTTGGTCACCTTCTCAAAGAACTCAATAAGGTTTGTGAGGCACGACCTACCCTTCACAAAACCGTGTTGACTATCCCTGATCAAATTATTCCTTTCTAGATGTTTATAAATACTACTTTTTATGTCAAGCTTTGATCCAGCAGCTGGTGCACAGTCATCAGCAGACAAGAAATTGCAAATTTATGTCCACCAATCACCGAGAAGAGCAAGGGAGGTAGACGCATGTAAATATGCTGACCTGGAATTATAACACTGTTCCTTCGCTGTGCCTGGTTCAAAATCCTGGAACTCCCTAACAGCGTGACATTATACCTACATCAGAAGGGCATCATTCATTCAAAAAGTCAGCTCTCCATCATCTTCTGGAGGGCAATTAGGGATTTACAACAAATGCTGGCTCTATCAGCGATGCTTACCTGCTTTGAAAAATAAAAAGGGAAAATCATCCCAGTCTAAAAATTGAAATTTGACACATGCAATACCTGAATAATTTACTTTTATATTGTGTCTCTCATCCTTGTGATGTCCCTAAATGCTTCACAGCAAATAAATTATTTCAGAAGTGTAGCCATTGTTTTTATGAAGATAAATACAACAAACAATATATATAGAAGCTGCTAGTCCAGTGACACTACCACTATGACCCCACCTCCCCAAGTATAAGATTTTGTTTAGAAACTTCACTCTCTAAGCATTGGGTATTCCCCTTAAGCTTTAAAAAACAAGTTCCAGAAATCTCTAACAAACCTTGAGGCTCAATTATATATCTTGCTGGGTTGCAAAGCATTCTAAAATGAATAAAAGTCCATTTGTGGTATATACAAACCCATTCATTCTAAAGTCAGGCCTCAAAAGCTGTTTTTGAAGAAATCACATTGGCTACAGAAATACTGTACTTACAAGTTAAACATTAATTCTGGACACACTGAAAACACAGTGGTTACTCAAAAACCAGAAAATCAAATGTTAAAACATCAAAACATATATATTATTGTTGTGGCATCCCCCAGCCTCCTCCGCCATCCAGCACATCAGAATCTGGTTACTCCAGTTGCCTGAGTGAGTCCTCTGCCAGGAACTGAAAGCCATATCAGTGAAGATGCAAATTCTTAAACCTTAGCTCTGTGACGACAGCTGCTACGCCTAACAGGGGAGGACCATATCCCAAACGTGGATCAGGTCCTGATAAAAGTCAGGAAATTCCCTTTTCATTTCAGAGACCTAAACAATCGATGCATGAGGTGTATGTCATGGCTGAGATCATGCATCGAGAGGAAGGATTATAATCGCCAGGGCAGATGATCAACAAGGGGCCTCAATGTAATAGTATCAGTGCAGGGAATGAAGATGGAAGCTTGCCATTTGTCACTGTAACAAAGGCTTATTGACTCATGTTTCAATGGCTATCAATTTGTTTCACTATGTATCTCATTCCATGGAGGTGCAGGAGCTTAACAGTTACTTAAGAAACGTTAGTGGAATTAAGACCGGCTCTAATTCCTGGTTAACTATTAAACTGATCTCACCCCCCAAAACTCTTCATCCACCCATACCTACATCTCTCAATCCAAACCCCCTAAATTGCTCCCCGAAAAACCCAATCCTTTCACTCGGTCACCCGCTACCCAATCCCTTCACCCATTTTCCTGAGACCCTACCCACTTTTCCACCTACTGGACACTCTAATCCCACCTAACTAACCCCCTATCTCTTCCCGCAATTAATCACCATCCTACCCCGCTTCACTTACTCCAGCCAACCCCCTAAACCAGTTACCTAATCGTAACCCTTTACATACATATTTATCTTCTCTCCATACCTTCTTAAGACTTAAGCTTAGACCTTTAAACCTTCAAGTATGGCAGTAACCGCAGTAAAAAGGGGACATGGTTTGTCTTCCAAAGTTGATCCTGTGCTGGGGCAGAAAGCTCCCATATCAGGTATGCTCCATGTTTGTCAAGAACTAGACATTCAAGTCAGAAACACAGAACTCCAGGACATGGTAAATGAAAAAGGTCATAGTGTAAAAATTTGAGCCCGAGTCTTTCACATTTCTCAAAGGTTTACCATTGAAGTTTAACCTTCCTAGGCAATTCCCAGGTAGATGGCACGCCCATACTTTTGAACGATAATCAATATGTCAGTATACAGTGAACATAGTCATCACAGTAATCAGAAGACCTGAGTCTTTATTGCCTTGCTATAAACAAAGCATTGGGACAAGCGTAAGAAATTCAATTGTTACAGGACATTAAAAAAAATTATCTTGGTTGCATACCAGACTGTCCAAAGATAAACTACAGACATGAGATAACCCAACAAAAGTCACATGACAACTTTTTTGTGGATGTTGAATTTGGGAGTTGGGCAGACATCACATCAGCTCCTATAGTGAACGGATGCCACCATTCTCTCCTTCCATTTAAGCTTTGAACCCTGTCTGCTGAGTTTGATTGCATCTATCTTCCTGTAAGCAGGCATTAAACTTTCAAAAGGTGGCTTCACTTTCCACAGCAGCACTTTCAGAAGGAGAAGACATCAGTTACAACCTTAAACTGCCAGCCATGAAGCCAAGTCATCGGATAGCTACAGCCAGACCAGATAGCCATTTATAACCAGTGAACTCTTACTTATCATTTTATTCTTATTGATCTTTAACTTAGTCAAATTTAATCTCCTTTGTTCTGTAATTTGTATTTTGCATGTTTGGTTCAAGTGTATGTGTTTTTGTGCAAGTTGTGAGAGTCAGGACATAGTTTTACATTTTTAACATTTTCACCCTGAGGTTGTTTTAGCACTATGAAACTAACCCCTTACTTGTTAAATTCAGTAAATGCTGTCATACATGCAATTATCTGCATGTAAACAGTTGAGTATACACTAAATTAGCAAATACTTTTTAAATTAAAAACATTTGTTAGAGTTGGAATTTGATGGTTTATATAAAATTCACTCTACCCTCAACAAACTATTTCCTGAAAACTGTTTTGTTTTTCTCTCCTTTCTGCAAACTTTTCTGTGTTGTGTTTTTAGTGTGCTTTTTTGCCATACTTTAGTAATGGCTTTTAAAGTTTTCAATCTGAGGTATTAAACTAACCCATGTGCTTTCTGTATCTTTCTTTGGTAGTTCACTTATGCATTTTTGATTTTCCGTTTTGTCCACACCAAAAATCCATTATTGTCTTTTGATTTTTAAGTTTCTATTTGAAGGCCTTTGCAAATAATTGTAGACAGCAGTTTCAAGTATCAGAAAATAGTTGTTAAACTGAGCTTGACTGAAACTCCTTGAACTAAATATACAAGCAAAATATAATCTTCAAGAGCACAACTGCTATTCAGACTTCAGCAGCTCCAAGTTTAACCAACTTACTGAAAGATGGCAGGAATACTATAAAAAATGCAATGGACTTTACCATGGTTACAATAAAAAAGGAAATAACATTATAGGTTTATTGCTACAGCATATCAGTATACAATATCAAGGCATTCCTAATCAATGATGAAAATCTAATTGAAAAATCTTACATTATTTACAGTGTCCATAAATGCTACAATGACAACCTCAAGCTAACACTTAGCTTTCCTCTTGACTCATAAAGTATGTAGACAATACCTGACGAATTTCTTCAGCTTGCCTATCGACTGTACTATCTGACATTACTTGGTTTGGCTGAGGAAATTCCTCCTGCTCAAGAACACCTAGCCAGTCATTATTAAAACCATCATTATGCTTTTCACAGATGTTATGAAGAATGCAACAGGCAGTGATCATTGTTGGAATAAGTTCAAGGCTACAGTCATTCCTCTTGAGAAGACATTGCCAACGAGCTCTGAGTCGTCCAAATGCATCGTCTATCACAGTGTGAGCTTGGCTTAACCTGTAGTTAAACACAAGTTGATGCTGTGTTAGTTTTGCTGTTTCAGAATATGGCTTCAGGAGCCACTCCTGTAGTGGATATGAAGAGCTGCCTATCAGTAGGTATTTCACTGGCGTTCTCAGAATATCTCTTGAGCAGTCAGGGAACAGCCTTCCTTCAGTAGCCATTCTCCATAGATCAGAATTCCTCAGAATTTTTGTATCAAGAGAACTCCCAGAAAATCCAGTGCACACATCCCAGAAATTCCCACTGTCATCAACTACACCTTGTAACACGACTGAATGCCATCCCTTTTTGTTTAGGTAATCTTTGTGGTACTGTGGGGGAGCAATGATAGGTATATGGCAACTATCAATGGCGCCAACACATTGAGGAAAATCCCACTTTCGACCAAACATCTGAGCTATTGCTTCAAATTCTTGATTAGAGGGCATCTTAAGATACAGAGGCTTTAAGAGAGACACAATGGCATGACATACATCTCGTACACATTTACAGACAGTTGATCGACCTATCCCAAACAAATGACTAATAATTCGATATTCTACATTAGTAGCAAGTCGCCAAAATGCTACTGCAACTCTCTTTTCCAGGGGGAGTGCAGGACGTAGGTGAGTGTTTCGACGAGAAACCATGGGTTTCAGCTTATTACAAATATGGAAAAATGTTTCCTTAGACATTCTGAAATTTTCCAGCCAATCATTTGGCTGAAAGTCCTTCATAACCACACGCTCCCACCAGTCTGAACTTCTTGGCTTACACCAGATTCTTGTACGACAGTTACACCTACAACCTCCACGTGCCATCACCATCTGCAAACATCAAAGAAAGTTTTATTACAATTGCACTCCTTAATTATCCAATGATATTGCAGGACTCAAGAGATATCTTTGTTTAAAAGTCATACTATACAAGCCACATGCTGTTACAGCTAATTCCTGCTTGCTGTTATGTGATGATATCATAATGTGTATGAACACGACAGGCATTTAAAAAGAAACACACTTCAGATGTGATAACACAATAGGTGTCAAGATTTTCTTCTGGATGAATATCTTATTAAATTTCTATTTAAGTCATTAGGCATGAATTATTGAAAAGTTTGAATTATTATACCTAGGGGAAACAAACTAAGCTAATTTAAAACCTGCATGCACCAGAAAATATAATAAAACTACATAGCAAGGAGTATGTTCACACAAGGTATGGACCCACATTTTAAAGGTTTCTTTTAAGAAGTGTTGACTAGAGTAAAGAATGATGGAATGAAAGAATGAGGCTACTGGAGCCTAATAAGATTGTACTGCCTTCAGAAACATAACAGTATTTCACAAACTATATAACTTTCAGCAAGGTCTTAAACTTGCAATTGAATGTAATTTGTTTCTCTCAAATTTAGACAGGGATCAACTTGAACTCTAATTAATTTCTGCTCTGAGATTTGCAATCTGCTGTCGATGTTCATTTCATATGGGCACAAATGCCACCCCAAATGACTCAATCAAAACACAGTTATGTTTAAAAGAAAAATAAATTGATTTGGCATATAAAATAGTTAAGTAAGCCTTTGAAATTTTGCTTAGGGTCCAAAGTTTAAAAGTTTCTAAATTCATAATTACTTTCAAATCCTAAAAAGAATTTTTGATAATTAGTTGTCAAATTAAAACTACATGTTTCAAATCACATTTTCTGGTTGGAAAAATAGACTACTTTTCAGTTCCTGTCTACAAATGCACTCTGCTAAAACTCAGATTAGGTTTTACATCTGAAGATCTGCATTGAGAGGGAGGGAAGTTGATATATTCAGATGTGGGAACTAGTTATCTCCAGATCACAGCCAACTGCAATACTAAATTCTCCGTCTTCTAACAAATTTATGGAACAAATGTAACTAAATTTAAGAACATTCCCACTAAACCAGCATTATTTTAAAAAGGCCCTTACAGTTAGCATGCAGGCATGGAGTTAAATCCAATCCTAATTGAGAACAACTAGTTGTTCTGTACAATTACTCTCCTCCACCGTTTATCTAGTTTCTGAATAAACTTAAACAAGAAATGGACATTCGAAAAAGAACGTTGCAATTTTACAGATCCACTCTCCTGTCTTCCCCATATATTTTCTGTTTGTTTTTCAAATGATTATCGAATTCCTATTCAAAAGCTATTATCATCTCTGCTTTGACCATTTTCTGGTGAGGTACTCTAATGCCCTCCAAACAACTCGCTGCCTAGACAAAAACCTCCTGATCTGGAATCAATGATCAAATCTCAATTTCATCGGATATTGCGGAATTTTTCAAAAGTAGGGCTAAATGTGTTTCATACCTTACGCTATTTTAATCTCATCAATAATTTCAGTTGAGATTCTCCTCTCAAGTAACGGAATCCAAAAATGCAAAATTCATCTGCCCGCCAAATTCACTTTACAGCATTTGTTCGGATATTGCAGGTCTGATTGGGATTACAAACTCCTGTCGGGATTCAAGTTGCGGACGAGTTAAGATAGTGAGTGTGGACAAGCATCGCCGCTCTAAATAGCTCTTCTTCTGTTTATTTTTCGAGCCCTCTATACAGGAGCTGGAAACGTTGGGATTAAACGCGCGGTCGCCAGTCCAAATGTTTTTTTTTTGCTGCCCTTTGTGTCGCAGCGCACATTTTGTTCAGTTTCCAATCCCACACCCCACACCCCTCCAAAACCTCCCCCGTACCAAAATCATTTTCCTCTGCCGCTGTTGGAAATACTGCCTCAGCCTCAGCCTCCTCTGTGTGTCGTTCCTCCTTTCGATGCTCGCACTCTCAAACTCAGCGCGGCGTTTCATTAACAGGAAGAGGAATAAAAACATCATAGGCAGCACTGTCTCCTCCGCCATGTTTTACAGACTGACTGACTGACCTGGGAAGTGTTCGCGTCCGAATGTTACCCCCCCTCCCAACCCTGCTACGGGCCCTGGGACGTGGACACGGAGCACCCACACCCACTGCCATTCCGAATCGGAACCATATTCCCTTCATAAGAGCTGGATAGGAAAGTATGGTCTGGGGGATCAGCGCGCTGGAAAGCCTGTTATATATTATTTTGCCGATATCGTTTATTGTGATCTGTAACCATGGAGACTGGTCGCGTCGCCATGGCAATAGCGCACTTCCTGTGGAGGTTTGAATTTGCGTGACGTCACAATGGTAACGGTCGCCCCGGCGCCGGAAGAGCGGTCGCCATATTGTCCAGGCAGGAGAGGGGTCCACGGTCGCAGCTGCAGGGGTAGGAAGGGGGACTGAGAGGAGAACGTTTCAGTGGAGAATCAGTTACACGGACAGTTATGTCATTGTGAGTCTTCATCGCGCCGCTTTGTGGAGGTTTCCCCCTCCTGCCTTTTATTGCAGGTATGATAGAGGGGGATAAGGGTTACTGTGGGCATGGAGGGGAATGCGCCGGTTGCTGCCTTTCCGTGAAGGTGCCCGATGGCCACCGCCAGTATTGGGTAAATTGGGATACATTTCTTCATGGTCAGTGCTCTCGAGGCGTTGTTTCTTCTAGACCCTGCTGATTTCAGTCCTTTTTTTTTTCCCTTTAATTTGTTGTGAAACGCCCTTCTTTGTGGATTTGGTATTGCCCTTGATTAAGAATAATGCAGCTTCACTGCCAACGTGAGGGAGTGCATTTTTCTTTGGTATCGTGGGCAACATTTCTGTGTGTTCTCCATCACTCTTATGTTTTGAATTCTTTTTGAAATCAGAAATAACTTGGATTCATTCATGTGTTTAAGATGACCCAACCATTTTTCACATCCACATGAAATTAACTACTTTTGCATTGCTTGTCACTATTATATACCCATGCAGCAATCAATTTGTGGCTTTAGATTTCCCACCACCAGTATTGGGATTACTGATCAGTGAATTTTGTTACCTGCATATTGGTTAAGATATCATCATTGTCAAGGGAATGGCCTTCCGTTAGTGGTTTTTTTTAAAAATGCAGATGAAGCCTTATTTTAAAGATGAAAAGTAAAACTGCAGGTGTTGGTAATCTGAAAAAGGAAAACCTCAGGAAAAAATGCTCAGCTGATCCGACAGCATTTACTGAGAACTGATGAATGAAAGTTAGCCCTCAGTATCTGACTTCATGCAATAGACAAACTGGGCAAGTGGTTGAAACGTCAGTGGGGGAACATTTTGCAGACAATGATCATAACTCTGTTAGATTGAAGATTGTTATAGAAAATGACAAGGATGGGCCTGAAATCAGAGTTCTTAACTGAGGGAGGGCTGATTTTAATAAAGTCAAGTATGATTTGGTAGCATGAACTAGGAGCAGATACTTTCAAATAAATGTGTCTCAGAAATGTGCAATGTATTCAAGAAAGAAACAAAGTAGAGGACCAACATTTTAAAATAAAGAAAAAGGGTGGGACCATCAAATTCTGTGTGAATACTGGATATTGAGGGATATACAGCATTGAATTAAGAGAAAAAGGGAGGCTTATGACAGATACTAAAGCTCAAAACAGCAAAAACCCAAGAGGACTATAGAATATGCAAGAGGGAAATTAAAAAAGAGATTAGAAGAGCTAAAAGGAGATATGGAAGGATACTGTCAAGTAAAAGTAAAGAAAATCTTAAATTGTTTTACAGGTACATTAAGGGTAGCAAGGGAAAGAGAAGACCATAGTGGTAATTTGAGCTTGGAACCACAGGAAGTGGATAGAATTCTAAATGAATATTTTGTGTTGATGCTCACTAGTGAGGGGCTGATATGGTGTAGAGATCAGAGAGAAAGTCTGTGATGCAATTAAAGAAATTAGCATTGATAAAGAGGAGGTTCTGAGTGGTCTGACAGGCTTATAAATAGATAAGTCTCCAGGACTGGATGAAATTACAGGTTGTTGAGCAAAGCAAGGGAGGAGATAATTTCAATCCCTCTCTGACCATAGGAGAGCTGCCAGAGGACTTGAGGACAGCCAGTGTGGCACAATAAGGGAAGAACAGATAAACCAGAAAACCACAGGCCAGTTAGTCTAACCTCATTGGTGTGGTAACTATCGGACACGATTCTGAGGGACAGAATTAATTTTGATTTGGTGAGCCAAGGATTAATCAAGAACAGTCAGCATGGTTTTGTTAAGGGAATGTCATGTCTGATCAACTTAACTGAATTCTTTGAAGGGGTGACCATGTGCAGATGAAGACGATGCTTTTGATGTGGTCTACTTGGACTTCAGCAAGGCTTTTGATAAAGGTCGCACATGGGAGACTCGGAGCAAAGGAAAGAGCCCATAGGAACTGTGGAAATTTGTTGAATTGAATCCACAGTTGGCTGAGTGACAAGAAACAGGGTGATGGCTGACGGTGTTTTTCTGGCTGAATATCTGTATCAATGGAGTCCCACAAATGTCAGTGATGGGACCCTTTTATTTGTAGTTTATATAGATGATTTGGACTTGAATGTAGGTTTATACGATCAGTAAGTGATACAGAAAATTTGGTGTGGTGAATTATAAGAACAGCCTTTCATTACTGGAGGATATAGACAAGCTGGTCAGATGGGCTGATCAGTGGCAAATGGAATTCAAAGCAGATAAATAAGACCTGATGCACTTGGGTGGAGTCAGCTAGGCAATTCATAAAGAACTGGAAGCACTGAGGATTTGAGAGACCTTTGTGTGCATGTACGCCAGTCCCTTAAGACATCAGAACAGGTGAATAAAATGGTCAAGAAGGCATAGAGTATACTGGAACTGTACAAATGATGTGGAGGTGCCAGTGTTGGCCTGGGGTGGACAAAGTCAGAAGTCGCACGACACCAGGTTATAGTCCAACAGGTTTATTTGAAATCACAAACTTTCGGAACAGTGTTCCTTTCCTTCGTCATGTGAAGTATAAAAAAGTACACGGGCACAGAATTTATAGGCAGAGAGATCAAAAGATCGTACAAATGGTGTGAGTTGAGTGTCGACAGGCCGAATAACAAGTCTCTGCAAGTGTCAAGTGGTGTGAGTAAAGTATCACTAGCCAAATAACAAGTGAAGGGATGACTTATGATCCAAATAATTGAGGCAGAGATAATTACAAAAACAAAAGGTGCTGGAGACACACCAGATGGCTGAAATAACATGATAGCTATAAGAGTTGCATGCCGAGGGTCTAACCAAAGTAACAAGTAATCCAAAACTGAACAAACTAGTTAAGGTAGAGAGATCGTAACAAGTTACCAAGGTGATGGTGTCAAAACAGGACAGTGGAGAAGATTTTACAAATACAGAACAGTACGGTGGGGTTTCATGTAGCGCAACATGAACCCAAGGTCACAGTTGAGGCCATCTTCAGGGGTACAGGACTTGGCTGTCAGTTTCTGCTCTGCGATTCTGCATTGTTGTGTGTCTCGAAGGCCGCCCTGGAGGATGCTTACCTGAAGGCTGAATGTCCTTGACTGCTGACGTGTCCCCCGACTGGGAGGAAACTTTCCTGCCTGGCAATTGTTGCTCAGTGTCCATTCATCTGTTGTAGCGTCTGCGTGGTCTCACCAATATACCATGCCTCGTGTCATCCATGCCTTTCGTGTGAGGTCGACAGCATTGCTGAGTCACATGATTGTCTGCCATGTACGTGATGGGTGGTGTTCCCACATGTGATGGTAGTTAGTGTTCATGTCTTGCAGAGCTTGCTGTGGCAGGGTTGTGTGGTGTTGTAGTCAATGTTGTCCTGAAGGTTGGGTAGTTTGCTGCGAGCAATGGTTTGTTAAAGGATTGTTTGTTTGAAGTTAAGGAGGTTGGTTTGGAGGTTTCGGGATGACTTTGGCAAGATGTTTGTCATAGACATGTTGAAGGCTACGAAAAACTTGGTGTAGTTTCTCCATTCCAGAGAAGTCCTGGGTGATGAAGGGTACTCTCAGTTGTGTTCTGTTTCTTCTGAGGGGGTCATTGTGATTCTTCGCTGTGGCACGTCAAAACTGTCGATTGATGAGTTGAGCGTTGTATCTTGTTCTTACGAGGGCGTCTTTGAGCATCTGTTGGTGTCTATCGTGTTCCACTTCATCTGAGCAAATTCTGTGTATATGCAAGGCTTGTCTGTAGAGGGTGGCTTCTTTAACATGTTTTGGGGTGGAAGTTAGAGAAGTGCAGCATCATGAGGCTATCCGTGGGCTTGTGGTAAAGTGAGGTACTGAGGTGTCCATCCTTGATAGAGATGCATGTATCCAAGAATGAGACTGATTCTGAAGACTAATCCATGGTGAGTCTGGTGGAATGAAAGTTTTGATCACCTGCAGTGACTTCTTATTCGGCCTGTCGACATTCCACTCCGCACCATTTGTACGAATGTTTGATCTCTCTGCCTATAAATTCTGTGCCTCTATGCTTTTCTTCACTTTGTCTGACAAAGGAGCAGTTCTTAGAAAGCTTGTGATTTTAAATAAACCTGTAGGACTATAACCTGGTGTTGTGTGACTTTGGAACTGTATGAAGTTTTGGATCTGTATAAGACATTGGTTAGGACGCAGCTAGGTTATTGTGTGCAATTCTGGAATCCACATTATAGGAAGGATGTGGTAGCACTGAATAGGAAATTTACCAGAATGTTGCTTGGGCTGGAGAGTTTCAGTTATGGACAGACTGGGGTTGTTTTCCTTAGAGCAGAGGAGATTGAGATGTATAAAAATGAGGGGCATAGATAGTGTAGATAGGAAGAAATGTTTCCCTGAGATGGAAGGATCAGTGACTGGGGATGAGAGGGGGTGGTGGGAATCTGGCACTCACCATCTCTAAGGATGGTGGAGGCACAAGTCCTCAAATCATTTAAGTATTTAGATGTGTACTTAGACTATGAGCTAAGCGCTGGAAAAATAGGATGAGATAATTAGGTGATTGTGACTAGCACAGACTCGAAGAGTCGAAAGGCCTTTTTATATGCTGTAGATCTCCTTATTAGCCCTATTCTGTACCAGTAGGAATCTGATTTTAAAGTCCAATCAATGATTTTGCGAAAATGGTGTTGCCATCAGTCGTACTTTGGAAAGAGCCAATGCACTTTAATAGTTACTAACAAGAACAGGAACATTTTTATATCACTTTTTTTTAATAAAGCATCCCAGTGTGCTTTACAGAATATTATGAAACAAAATATGACATGAAGCCATATGATGATTAAAAGATTGGTGAAAGCAGTAGAGCTCAAAGTCTACCTTTTAAAAGAAGGAAAGTGAGGATTGCTCTCATAGCAACTAGTTGCTGCAACCATTGGCCCTTCACCTTTAAACAAAAGGATTGCTAGACATGGAAGATCATTGTTCATCTAGTTTGATTCCCATCACCCAGGCAGTTGTGTGGTGGTATGATAAAGTAATTGATTAATTCTAGTAATCAATCTTTTGGTTTGTCTACAGAAAGCAAGTTGTGAAGAAAAACCTCACTGCTTTCAGAGCTGTAGACTGCACTATAGACTACAAAGTTCAAATCATTTGTGCACATTGTATACCACGAAGTTTTCTGAAGTAAGCCAAGAGATCTTGGGGTGCAGGTTCATAGTTCCTTGAAGGTAGAATCACAGGTAGACAGGGTAGTGAAGGCATTTAGTAAGCTTCCCTTTGTTGGTCAGTGCATTGTGTATAGGAGTTGCGGCTGTACAGGACTTTGGTTAGGCCACTTTTGGAATACTGTATTCAATTCTGGTCTCCCTGCCGTAGGAATGATGTTGTGGAACTTGAAAGGTTTCACAAAAGATCTATAAGGATGTTGCCATGGTTGGAGCTTTGAGCTATCAGGAGAGGCTGAATAGTCTGGGGCTATTTTCCTTGGGGCGTAGGAGGCTGACGGCGACCTTATAAAATCATGCATGTAGACAGGGTGGTGGGCTGAGGAGTGACCTTATAGAAGTGTTTAAAATCCTGAGGGACATGGATAGGGTGAACAGTTATGGTCTTTTCCCCAGGATAGAGGAGTCCAAAACTAGACGGCATAGGTTTAAGGTGAGAGGGGAAAGATATACAAGAGACCTAAGGGGCAACTTTTTCACGCAGTAGGTGGTGCATGTATTGAATGAGCTGCCGGAGGAAATGGTGGACGCTGGTACAATTACAGCATTTAAAAGGCATCTGGACATATATATGAATGGGGAGGGTTTAGACGGATATGGTCCAAATGCTGGCATAATGGTGATCTTGTCAGTTAAGACACAATGTTTCCAAGAGCTTAAACTTTATACTCAAACTGTATACGGTATGAAATAGAAGCTGCTATATCAGTCAGTTCGAAAGTTATTTTTCTGGAGTTCAAAATTACAGTTGCTGTGTTTGTTTATTGTTACCTTCCAGTTGTTCCTTGTTTTGTTTTATCTGTGACAGCTTAACGCAGCTTTCTTCTCAGCAGCACCAATGTCCATATTGACAAATGCATGAATAAAATGCTGTGTAATTTCTAGAGATAGAAATGTTTTTTCTTAAACTATTTGCGTGCAGGAGGAAGGGTTTTATTGCAGAGAATCAATTACTTTCTTTGCAGAATAAATGTGTTTGCTAATGCATTGCAGATTGAGTAGTTTTTTCTCAAATGAGAGAAACCTCGCTATCCATTTCAATTTTTAAAAATTGCCTTTTGTGCAATTTAAGCATTTTAAGAATGCATGTTATCATAATCAGGTGTATTTTAAGAGGTCTTTCGAAAGCAGAGAGAAAGGTATAGTGTTTTAATAAGGTGGTCTAAGGTGGTGATCTTCAATGAAGGGCATTGGTAAGCAGTAATTGGAAGAGCAGCTTGGGGGAGATGGTTTAGACATGTTGGAGAGGAGCTTTCACTATAGGGTATTGTGATATGGCTTAGGTTTTTGAAGATTTTTGTAGTTCATTATTGGATTTAGTGGAACATAGTCAGGATAGGCCTGTAGTTTTGGATTTTAAAAATTATCTTCACATCACAAGTTTGTGCTGACTTGTTAATTGTACAAGATTCCAATTTGTAACATCATCATTGGAATTTCCCAAAGCATTAAAAGTCATTGAATTTATTTTTAAAAGTACTGTCGCTTTAAACAAAGCAGCTATGACTGCTTAAAACATATTACATTTCATTGACTACTACAGGGATTTGATGTCTTGATGGATAAATTTTAGTTAGGATATCAGAAGAACTCTGCTGCTCTTAAATTACACACTGCATTAGAATCTTTCTTCCACTTGAACAGCAGAAAGTTATCATTCAGATTTAACACCTCATTAGAATGATGGAACCTCTAATAATTCATTTGTATTGTACTGGATTGCTGGACTGGACTGCAGCAGTGAAGAAGATTCTTCTGGTTTTCCATCTTGGATAAGTCTGTGAATTGAAAGCACCTGGCTGTATTACAGAATGTATAGAGCTGGATGAACACAGCAGGCCAAGCAGCATCAGAGGAGCAGGAAGGCTGATGTTTCGGGCCTAGACCCTTTCTGAAGAAGGGTCTAGGCCCGAAAC